GACAGAATCCACTCATTAATGCAATGCCAACACTTCATCAGTTAAAATAACATATTTTATTTGGCGAACAAGTCAAACAAAATTCTTAAATTCAGTATTACAAAAAGTCTGTGATTGCTTTATTTTTAAGTAGTTCCATTTAATGACAGAGCAAGAATTTACCTCTGAAATTCTGCCTCTCCTTTCATAGTATGGTTATAAGATCTTGTGTCTTCTGAGTTCTGAAAGAAGGAAAAAATCCAAGTGCTTATAGAGGAAACTGCAGTTCAAAAAAAAAAAACCTTCATAAGAGGGAACAAGCTATTATTTCATGCTAGATTCACTATGATTTATGAATACCTTAAGCTTGAAAAAGGCAGCCACATACCTTGCTATAACTTAGTATTTAGATTTTGTTGTATTTAAGAACAACACAAGGGGAAAAACTGAATGTGGCACACGGTCCTGGGTTATAAATAGAGGAAGCTCAACTAAATTAAACACATTTGGGATTCATGTGTTTCATATACTCTACAAGTATAACAGTATTCTTAGGGAAAAGAAAGTTACCTGAAGACTCCCTCCAGCTACCCCCAGGTAAGGCCAAAGAGAAGATATTTCTATGGGAGGTTTTTGTGCAGAAGAGATGTGTTACTAATTCTCATCAGACTTACTAATTAGGCGGAAAAGCGTGAAACTGCAGTTACATAGGCCTAGTTAAGAGTAAGGATAGTCCCCAAACAAAGAACTTGAACAGTCCTTGTTTAGAAAGCAGTTATATCACAAGCTGCGTCGCATTCATGTTGCGGAATAACTGGAAGGCAATTCTGATTAGGTCAAAACAGAAAGCAGTTTATTATTGCAGCTATGGGAGAGAACAGAGAGGAGTAAAATGACAGACTGCTGATATTAATTCTGCCCAACAAGGCATTTAATTTTTATATACCTTTGGGTTATATGACTCCGTTTTCCCAAAACTACAGCAGGGTGTAGGAAACCACAACAGAGAATGGTAACATATGGATTACTTCAGATAAGGAAGCTCCAGACAGTACATCCTTTTACAAATAATTCGCTCATTCAATAATTGGGTCATGCTGACTCAATGAGGCCTTTAGGTCACTGCTGCAGAGGTTTTCCTAACTAGAGAGGCCTGCAAAAGCCCTTACCTATTTTACTTCCACATTAGAAAGCACTTCATTAAAAAATAAAAGGGTTGCAGAAACCAGCAGAGTTCTAATGAATTAAGGAAATTTTGAGAACTTCTGCCTGTGGTTTGTTCTGGAGTTGTAACAGCAGCAAAACCACTGAAACCGTAACAGGATGCTGTTAAAGGCTGCTGCCACTAAGAATCATATTGATGCAACTTGCTGCAGTTGAACAGCTCCTGTTCAACTCACATGATTACAATCAAATAGGAATCAAAGTGTTTTATTAAGAACTCAATTAACTGGCACACACTCAGGGTCAATACTAGCAATACAACAGAAAAACTGTAATAATAGACACTTACAAAACGATACCAGATCAGATGACTTGGTACCAGAAAGTTTTAATCTTATCCGCTACACGATACACTTTGGCACACACACTCATGCTGTTGAAGACGTGGGTCCTCCAGTCACACATGCAGCTGTACCACTTCCTCCAATCTGCTAATGCACATGCTGGTGAGAAAGGCTGCCCATGAGGTCACGCACACACCCCCAGGGTGTGGGACCCTATGGGATGGCCCCCCTGTACTGTCACTCCACCAGCTGGAATGCAGGTTACTGACAGTGCCCGGTAGTGAAGGTGCTCCACTGGCGTAGATGATGGTAGTAATGCTGGTGGGACAACTTGGGGCAGCATCAAGCCCAGTTTGACTGCTGCTCTGTTACTGCTTTCTCTCTTCACGGCCTGTTCCCCTAGAACCACGAGTTTTCATGATGTTTTATTATTTCTTTTCAACCTAGCTCCTTCTTTTCTCAAAAGTCTCTTGATAATTCCCCAATTTTCACTTAATTTGGTCATCTTAAACTTTGTTACTGTTACTTTCCTCTTAGTATTATCAGTCTGGGGTAACATCCTTTTGGAACAGACTGTTTTAGGTGTTCTGTTTACAATCCTATGGCTATCATATCACCTGGTGTTATCCAGGCCATATTACCAAAAGGCAGCTGTGCTAACTCCTCCAGACAGCTCTGTGTAAAGCTGTTCTAGTTTATACTGTGACAAATGTCCTTTCATTCATAATTATGGAATTATACGCCAAACGGCTAAAAGCCAACAAGCATAAAGTTTTCTGTAATCTGTGGTCATGCTTACACCACACAAAAAAAACCCCAAAGTCCCCAGCATAATCACACCTAAATATGACTCTACTTAAATGGCTTACTCTCACCTTTAAGAGCGGAAGATACCTCTTATCCATATTGTGATCACACTGAAGAAACACTTGCTACTAATCAGAAGTTTCCTTATCTTTTTGCTATTATCAGTTTGGGTTCTCACTGTTGCTTGCACTGGTCAATGTCAGCATATAGCAATATTTAATGCTGTCTCAAACAGACTGAAGTCACACAACAGTTAAAAGTCTGTATTCTTCAAATTAGTATAGGCATTAGCAACGGCAATACAGCTACAGTACGAGGTTTTAAACCAAGTTTTTACCCTTTGTATTACAGAAGTAAAAAAAACCCATCCACACCTTACGATAAGTTAATGTTAAAAGACAAACTGAATAATAATAAGGAATTCAGGAGAAAAACTAGTCACAAATACTTGGCTTTGAACAACATTTTCTACATGAACAAAAGGCTTCTAACATGTATAACTCAGTTTATAAGGCCATAATATCATGTTCATTTATAAACACTTCCAAACATTTTTTGAGATATTTATGGTAAGACAGTTAAAAGCTCTCTTATTTCATATATACCTTACAAAATCCAAGGAAAAGAAATCTAGCAAACTTAAGAGTGGATTTATTAAACTACTAATTTATTGGATATGTATTATGCTACTGGCAGGAAATAACTTCCCAGAAGGGGATACAAACAATAAAAATGGGAAGCTACATACCTACATACAAGTGTGACCAGAAAGATTATCACCTCTGTAGCACCTGCATTTTACAAGTGATTCAGTGAAGACTTACTCACTAGGTACAAATATGTACCAGAGTGTACTAAGAATTTTGGTCATTTATTTGTGTCTCAGTGGTTAAAACGAAGTATTTGAGAGTTGCTTGCTAAAATGCTGCAAAGTACAATTTGTGATTAATCAGAAAATTAAGATCTATGATCCAAGATAAAGAACAATCCAAGAAAACAGCAGTGGTTTTGTTAACAGGTTTAAGCTCAGCTTTCCTCAACCAAGAAGATACACTAAAATAAAAATGTCTCTTATTTTCTGATACCCACACTACTCTCAGTCTCTGAAGGAAAACATAAGCTAGTTATCTGGCTAGAACTTGCAGTTACCTGATCAATTCAACCCTCCTGTTACTCTTAATGACCCCATCTTTAAATTTGATTCATCCTTCTATCACAAAACTGCTAAACAATTCATTCCCTTCTCTTGACTGTGGGGTTTTGAATTAAAATAATGATAATAGTAACAATACAGCTGTTCCTACTTTGTCATCTTGGCCATCCAAACAGTCTTCCTTTTCAGTTATTTTCTTCAGTTTCTTTCTAGACATCTTCAAATCCTAAGAAAAACAGTGTTGCCATTATTATTTATTTCAAGTTGTTATTTCTAGCTGGTATAAAAAATAAATTTAACTGCGTAGAGAAAAAATACTCTAATACTCTTCTCTTTACAGAGTCACAGCAGATTTCAACAGGGCTAATTATTCACATCTCACTACTAAAAGAACGTCACAGAAAAAAACCGATAGCAATTACTTTACGTTCTGCTCCAGAGACGCATATTTTGTACCAGCAAACATACCAGACTAATAGAGATGAACACGCTTTAACGTTTAGTCATACAACCGTGAAGTTTTAAATCAGTTCCAACCGTGTAACTCCCGCCTTGGGCCTCGCCCCCCCTTCCCCTGGGGTGGACGTAATGTCGTGACATCTCCCAACAGCTACACCACCCTCTACGCAAACTAGTCCTGCCAGCCTGCTGCGACCAAGAAGAGGTTTAAAAGGGCTACAAGAGACCTCCACTAGAATCTCCCAGAGCTTTAGAGATGAATTTCCAGAGTACAGGTCAACTACCTAAAGAGATAAGCCCCAGAAGTAGCTCAGCCATAGAGCAGGGAGGACTAAGTAAACACACGGCTCTCTAAGACAGCCTTCAACGTGGGCGGGTTGAAGTGACTGAAGGAAGAGCTGCTGCTCCGCCACGACCCAAGGGGCGGCAGCCTCCTGCCCGCGACCCCAGGCGTGAGGTACAGGGAGAGCCCCCGCGGCCCTCCACAGGACAAGCCAGCCAGCCGGCCTCCCCCACCCCACCCAGCTGCGGCCAGCACCCTTCCCTTCCCCTCCCGTCCCCTCCCCGGCAGCAGGGCACAGGGGCGGCCCCGCCTCACAGCCCGCCAGCTGGGACGCACCCTCCCGTAGAAGTCGAAGTCGAAGCCGAGGCGGGCAGCGGCTCCGCACCCCTCCACCCCGTTGCGCCGGGCGGCCTCGGGAGGATGGTGCTGGCGGAGGGGCCTCGGGGTAACCCGAGCACGGCCCCGCTCTGGGGCCGGGGACTTCCTTGTCAGCCACAGCCCTCCGCGCTGCTCGCCTCCGGGCGCGCCGCTGCCGCTGCCCCTGCCCCTGCCCCAGCCCCTCCCCGCCGCGGGGCGCGCTGGGCAAGGCCCGGGCCCCCGGGAGCCGGAGCCCCGAGGCGCTCTGGGAAGTGTAGGCTGTGCGAGCCCGCCTCCTCCCACCGCCGTACGTGCCGGGCCGCCGCTGTGCCTCCCCGCCCACCTTCCCCTCAGCGCCGCCCCGCTCCCAAATAAGAGGCGTGTGGGTAGGGCGGCACGTCCCTCTACCTCGGCTCTCCTGCCTTCGCCCACTGCCGGGCTGTCCCTGGAGAAGATGGCAGCGGAGGAGGCTGCGGAGGCCTCGCTGGCGCGGCTGTCCCCCGAGCGGAGGCAGCCGGAGCGGGAGGACGACGATGAGGAGAACCCCGAAGGCGGCGGCGAGACAGCAGCGCTCAGTGAGGGCTGGGCTGGGCGGGGGGGGAGCGTGAGCGGGCGGTGCGGTGGGAGCCGGGCCCTCCGTCCCCCTCTGAGAGGAGCGGCGCGGCGCCCGGCCGCTGCCCCACTTCCCGGGTGTGCGCCGCCCCGCCGTGCCGCGCCGTGCCGTGCCCGGGGGGTGCTGAGGAAAGGCGGGCGCCATGCGGAGGCGCGGGAGGGAGAGGAGCCTTGAGAGAACCCCGGTGGGGGGTTGAGTTTATAGCTGGGCGCCTGGAGCCGCACTCGTGCCGTCTCCTTTCTTCCTCCACCTGCGCCATGAAACCCCTGTGAGGTGAACGAAGCCCGTTTTTCCCCGTTTTACTGACTTTGAGTAGAATGGGGCCGGTGCGGGGCGGGCGGTGAGGCCACACGTGCTCCCCGCGGCGGCCCGGCCCGGGGGCTGAGCCTCGGCGCTTCCCTCCGTGCTCGGGGAGCTTTGAAAGAGCGAAACCGCGAGCTTTTCCTCCCTTTAAATCTAATGAGGTTTATGTGGTGGTGTGGGCGATCATCTTTTATGATTATTTCGAACTCTGCTCCCGAAGGTGGCGTTACAAACCAGGGCCTGCGGGAGGTGGGATGGCGGCGCGGGTCCTGATGTAGGATCCTGCCAGCTCCGCCAGATTGTCGAGAGTGAGGGGTTTGGGATCCCGCGCAGCTTTGAGGCAGCACCAGTTTAAGATTTGTCAGCACTGTTGCGGTAAATCACAAGATTAGGTTATATGATTTTTAACAATACTTAATCATCAGCCGGTTACCTGAGTGATTTAATAAGATGTGCTATAATCCACACTACAGAGTTTCCTAAATCGAATCACACACACAGATATAGAGGTTAACCTGTGATGAAGATTTTTCTCTCTTTGCAATTGTAGTGAATTATTGGTACTAAGTGATCTTTGAAACTTCGTGAAATCTAATTGTAGTGAATTAAATTACTTGCTATTCTCCTTCATCGACATCTATCCGTGGATGATCTTTGAAATCCTCGCAAAATCTACTCTTTGAAATCCTCGCGAAATCTCCTGAGAGGCGTCACAGCCTGCTGCAACGCCGCAGAGCTCGAAGGGTCTCAGGATCGCGAGATGATGACTTTGGTCAGTATATTTCTATTCTGGCCACAATTCTTGTCTCGTAATTCTGCCACCTTCCAGGGTGTGCCACAATCCAGGCAGCAGGAGGTTCAGGAACAGTTAGGGAGTGCCTGGTAGTCCTAACTTGCTGTACCATAACCAGGAGAAGAAAGTACCAGATTGTCCCACCTTGCTGCACTTGTAGCCAAAACAAGAACCCAGTGCTGGCAATGTGAACCAAGGGGGTCTGCACCACCACAGATGGGGATGCAATGTGTGCCATGCCGTCTCTTCCCCAAACGTTTTCTCCTCAGTATTTTCTGCCAAATCTGTTTAAACTGGTTGTGCCAGTTTTCCAGCTGCACCAAATGTGGCATTGATGCCAGTCATTTGCTACTGCAGTCTTACAGTTGAAGTGAACTGATTCTTCTAATAAAAAAAAGTATAGTGTAGGCTTTTTGATGCATTATTATGTTTGTGCATAGTCAGTGGTTCTGGACAGGCGTTTTAAAAATCGTGCAATCTTTCTTCGGTCGCAGCCTGCTTTTCTTAATCATTTAGTGTGCAAGTTTACCTTTCTTCATGGATATATATACAAACTGTATGTACATATATGCATACTCTATTTTTCAACCATTTTAACCTATACACTTGCTCTGAAGATGCAGACAGTCCAACTGTGGTGGACTTTGGTCACTCCTATGCTCTCACTAAGCATTTTTCTAACTGTTTCCAGTTTTTCTCAGCACCGGTAGTCATAATAAGTCATTGTTCTTACAGATTTCTTACCACAAATCCTTTTACTTCATTTTCTTGCTGTCTTTCTATTAATAAAGCATATAGAAACTATCACCAGGCATCTTGCAACTTCTTAATTGAGAAGTAGGCAGGAAATACAAGTCTGTCTCAGGTAAGCTGTCAGCTTAACAATAGATCTGTGAGAAATACAGCAGTGCTCTCTGAGTAGCAGTGCTGGTCTTGATATATTTTAAGGTAGGCAGAATAATTTTACTCTGTGCTTCTGCCTTTCTGAACAATTTCTCTAACCCTTGTCTTGAGGTATTCCTCTTTCTGTTTTTGTTTTTTTTTTTTAATAATAGCAAAGATTTATATCCAACTGCAGTGTTTAAAAGCAAACAAACAGAAAACCCCAGGGGAATCGTAAGAACTGCTATAAGATCCTTCCAGCCCTTATTCTGTCTTCACTAGTGGCCAGGAGTAGATGGTTAGGGAAGACTAGCAGAACAGAGCAGCCATACATTAATGCATGCTCCAGAAATATCTTCAAACACAAACCGGTTTGTTACTCCTTATTTTCTTGAGCCAAAGGTCGTGGTTTTATATTTAAAATCCTATAGTGGATTTCTCTTCCATAAAATACTCACTTTGGCACTTGTAGACTGGCAGTCATAGACTTGCAGCATCTGCAGCAGCCTGTGGCAGGGAGGTCTGCAGCATTAGCAGTAGGTCATGTAGAGAACATTCTTCTGCTCTGAATTTTCAGCTGATACCTCCATGTGGTGCATCCCAGTTTTTGTGTTGGAATAGACAGTGGTTTACTTGTGTGATCTCTCTCTGCATCTCATGATCTTACAGATATCTGTCCTATCCAGGCTGAAAAGTCATAGCCTGCTCTGTTGCTTCTGAATAGCTAAGAAACAATGCCATAGCTTTGTTAAGTGTCAGCCTTTTTTGAAACTTTCCTAGTTCTACCTGTCCCTTTGAAGCTTGGGGGTCAGGGGCAATACCCTTCAGTATGCAGGCTGAGCATGGCTTTCTGCATCCTGTCCTAGCAGTTCCTAATGTCAGTTGGTGGGGAGAGGGATCCACCACTTCTTAGGATTTATACCTCTTCCTTTTGTCAAAACTGTATTTTAAAATTGCAAGGTAGTAGTCCTGACTGGTGATGCTCCGCTCAGAGTCCATGCATTCATATGTGAAATAAAAATCAGGGTTTTTTCCCCTAAGTCCACTACTTGACTGTTTTTTGTCATTTTATTGCCCAATCACTCAGCCTCCTAAGTACTTTTTGAAATTCTTGAGTAGGCCTACCTCAGAGAAGTTATTCATTTGCAAATGATGATGGCACCAGCACTTAACACTCATCATGGCCCCTGATGATAGCAAATTCCTTCCTTACTCCCCTCCTTTTTTCACATTGTTCAACTAGTTATGAACAGTTCTGTGGTGAGTTGACCCTGGCTGGACGCCAGGTGCCCACCAAAGCCACTCTATCACTCCCCCCTCCTCAGCTGGACAGGGGAGAGAAAATACAAACAAAGGGCTCATGGGTTGAGATAAGGACAGGAGAGATCACTCACTAATTACAGTCATGGGCAAAACAGACTCAGCTTGGGGAAAATAAACTTAAATATATTGTCAGTCAACCAGAGTAGGGTAATGAGAAATAAAACCAAATCTCAGAACACCTTCCCTCCACTCCTCCCTTCTTCCCAGGCCCAGCTTCACTCCCAGATTCTCTAACTACCCACCCCCCCCCGCCAGCAGCACAGGGGGACAGGGAATGGGGTTTACGGTCAGTTCATCACGCGTTATCTCTGCCACTTCATCCTCCTCAGGGGCAGGATTCATCACACTCTTCCCCTGCTCCGTCGTGAGGTCCCTCCCACAAGAGACAGTTCTCCACGAACTTCTCCAACTTGGGTCCTTCCCACGGGCTGCAGTTCTTCACGAACTGCTCCAGCGTGGGTCCCTTCCACAGCATGCAGTCCTTCAGGACCACACTGCTCCAGCATGGGTCCCCCATGGGGTTACAAGTCCTGCCAGAAAACCTGCTCCGTGGGCTCCTCTCTCCACAGATCTGCAGGTCCTGCCAGGACCCTGCTCCAGCGTGGGCTTCCCACGGGGTCACAGCCTCCTTTGGGCATCCACCTGCTCCAGCGTGGGGTCCTCCACAGGCTGCAGGGGAATCTCTGCTCTGGCGCCTAGAGCACCTCCTTCTCCTCCTTCTGCACTGACCTTGGTGTCTGCAGGGTTGTTTCTCTTACATGTTCTCACTCCTCTCTCCAGCTGCAGTTTCTGTGCCCACCACAACTTTTTTCCCTTCCTAAATCTGTTATCACAGAGGTGCTATCGCTGATGGGCTCTGCCTTGGCTGGCAGCGGGTCCATCTTAGAGGTGGCTGGCATTGGCTCTGTTAGACATAGGGGAAGCTTCTAGCATCTTCTCACAGAAGCCACCCCTGTAACCCCCCTCCCCCGCTACCAAAACCTTGCCACACAAACCCAATACAAGTTCTAAACTTTGGTTTCCAAATTTTTTTAGCTGCTAGTATATTGTTATGAGTATTTGGACTCTTCCTTGCCTGCTTTGACTTGATAGCACTGCATTTTCCCAGAAAGTAACATGTAAATATTATTTTTTTAACTTTAAACATCTGATGATACAGATGGGCAAACAGTTGTGCCTGTCCAGGATGGCATTATTTCACGGTGGTTTCCAAGGATGAGTGATAATCTCTAAACATACTGTTTATACGTTTATTTTGTCCTTCACACTTGTAGTAATTTTTGCCTATTAGAAGCACCAAATTATTGGAAACAAATTAATCTCTTTGTATAATTTGGTTGTATCAACAACACTTTTACTGGGTTTTTTTGTTTGTTTGATTTTGTTAAGATGGTGTGGTTGTCCCTGGAAAAGAGAAAAGCAACAACCTGGATGTGAAAGTTACTGAGTCAGAATTGGAAACTGAAGGAAAAGGAACAGAGGAAGAATCCACAAGGGAATCTGATAGCAACATTTTGGATGTATCATCTGATTATCCAAGAGGTTTGCTAATAAACTCTTATGGATATTTGTGTTGTGTGCTTGAGGAAAGGAAGAGAAAAAGTAGATATAGTGGGGAAGAAAGCTAAAAGGAATGTGTGAAATCTCATTTTCCATACATCCGATAGGTGTGGATACTTCTTCCCATGCATCTGAACAAAATATTTTCCTAAGGCTTTGGAAATCTCTTTAAAAGAGATGCCATTTTCCCCTTACTAACATTTCTATAAATCACTGTGGAAATTTGCACATACACAGTGACAGAAAAGAAATCAAGGTTAGGTGAGGTATGAGCTACATCAGGCTCTGATGCTAGAAGTACCACAGAGAGCAGAGAAAATCTGTTGTGTCTAAGTGCAGAAACTAAAAGCTAGGAATTGCTTTTAACCCTAGCTTTAAAACTCTCCTCTGTATCTTGAGCACATTGATCAATTACCATCTTTGTTTTACATAAGAAAACCTGAAGACTAACCTTGTAAAAACATCACAAAGGTTTAAAATCGCTACAGAATCAGTGTAACTGTATACTGGGATGTTCTGTGTGCTGAAACCAGTAAAGGTCATTTATTGGATAAGCTAATTCTCTTGTTTTTAGCAAATTCTCCTCTGCTCCCATTGACTGATAAGTTGAAAAATCAGGAGGTAAATTTCAAGGTTAAACAGCCTCTTAAGGGGGTGAGGGGGAAGGTGGTAGAATTTTAATATATCCTGGTTATACAGTGAATAATTGTTATTGACAATTGGTCCACTTCTAGCTGATATTTTAGTTTTGCCAGACAGTTCCTAGGATGTTTTTATACTGCTTTGTGCACAATTTGCATTCACTAATGATGCCAAGCAGTAAATTCAAGAGTAAATGGAATGTGACTTAATCTTTGCAGCTTGTTTTTTCAAATGAAGGTCTTTCCAGTTTGAGAGATTTGATGTGTGTCAGCATTAAAAAGCAAGTAGAAATATATGGAAATAATTGGATCTTATTAAAGAACCATTCTAGGGATTAATTTTTCAGTCATTCCTTCCACCTTGGAAGTTAACAGATACAGACAGGTATTCCAGTTGGTATTATAGTGGTTCTCTAATAGTGTTAGATTTGAAATGATGCATAGAAAAACAGCAGTAAACTAAACCCAATTTTTTAAGTGACAATGTTTATCTTCTAAATATCTCTGCTTTCCAGAGAAACATATTTCAATCCAAAGACATCTTGCTGATCTAGAGAAACTAGCTGACCTGAAAGAAGGTGAGTTTACCATGGCAGTATCTGAGACCACAGATCTTCATGTTACAGGTATTTACATTTTTTCTTAGTTTTTATTTTTAATACACTACATGTATTTATAATGATTGGAGACTGAGGGTTTCACAAAAAATAGGTTTATGATTTCTTGCCTTGCTTATCAGATGTTGTACTTCCTTCAGTAAATTCAAGGTCTTAATGATTCCTTTCCATCTTTTTCCTCTGCATTGTAGCATTTCTAACATTGGCAGTGTGCATGGATCAGCAAAATGTTAATTTTAGCTATACATCAACAGTTTAGTCTTATTTTTATTTTACTTCAAGTGCCATGAAAACATGGAACCCAACTGTTGTCTTTGCAGTGTTTAAATATCAGTTTAAATAAATGTGTGTTCTATTTTGGAATTTTTTTTTCCCCTGCTCTGTATTCATTTCTGATCCAGATGTATATTGGAGGATTGCTTTTAAGACTCTGAAGTGGTTTTATTACAACTTTTAGTTTTTCTCTGATTACATGTATGTATTTAGTGCTGGTAGTGGCAGCCCTTGCAACTGAAACTAGTTCTTATTCACAGATGGAAGAGAAAGATCAGCGTCCACATAGACTCTGTATCATATGGCTCTTGTGCCTTAATAATCTTTTAGAGTGGCCACTGATGGAAATAATAACCTACCTCTATGACTCTTTAATTTTACTAACAAATATGCCAAAAACTTATATAGAGCATTTGTTCCATTTTTAATGAGGAGATGGATCGTAAGTATCTCATAAGTCTGGTACTTGTAGCTGTTGCTGAGCCAAGTTATATGTAAATCCATGGTAGTGACAAGAAACTCATTATTCCCTTGCCTATTCTCATAGTAATTTTTTTTCTTCTGCCATGGATGTAGCATTTTTCTGCCATGTGTCTTAATGGACTGACTTGTATTTATTACCATCGCCTTGTGTATTTGATACTCAGTAAATCATAATTCAATAAAAGAGGCTCATCAACAGTAGAGAACACTGGTGATTTATTTGGTGAGCTGTAGGGTGCCTCTGTTGGCTTCAGTGGCATGGAACTCTGCATGGACATAGTAACCCACTCATTAAAAAGTCATAAAAAAAAAGGAATTTTACTGTTGTGCAAGCCTATGATACATAATTATTATTACAGATGGCCCGTGTTGTGTGGCATGTTTCAGTATTCATCCTGTACTATTCTAACACATAGAAGCTTTTCTGCTAAATTCTGCATGGGGGTTGTTTGACATTCAGTAGTCTTAAGACCCAGCAGCAGATGTATGTGTATTCTGATGCTTAATTCCTGTGTACAGCTCTACAATGTATGTCTCCCAATAGCTAGTTTTTATTTAGGTTAGTACTTCAAGTGCTTCAACACCTTTGATGTCAGATAATCTTGCCTTTGCTTTTTTGTCCCTTATGCAGGATTTCCAAGAAGAAAAATTGTTTTAATATAGAGTACATTATCTTTTTTGCAGCTTAAAAAGATACCGGGTGCTTGTTTTATCTAAAAGATTCAGGAGGAGGAAAGACAGATATTTGTTTTAACCTCTTCAATTGGGTTGGTTTTTGTGGGGTTTTTTTGAAACATTGCAAGTCTGTAGCCTTCATCTACAAAATTCTGCAATACTCTTCAGAAGTTGTATTAGCCTCATGTTGCTGGAGTAAAAAATATTAGAAAACAAAACTTAAAGGTTGTAGAAGTTAATGATCTTTAGAGTAATAGTGGTTCTTGTCTGTATTCTATGGAGTAGAAAGAGGCAATCAATAAATTTTCAGTTTGTGTATGCCTGAAATAGAATATACCCTGGGGAATTTATCTTTTAACTCCCATTCATAGTACCTCCATTCTTTTTTCTCTTAGCATGCATCTCTATTAACATGAGTGGCAACTACATTTCATGTGTTTCTCGTACTTTATGGTTATTTGTGTTTTCAGATGAAAAGAAGCCTTGTCCGTTGTGTCCTGAGGAGAAATTCAAAGCTTGCTATAGTCATAAACTCCATCGTCACCTTCAGAATTTGCACTGGAAAGTTTCTGTTGCATTTGAAGGTAATGGCAATCATTTGAATAGTAAATACAATAAGAAATTGTGGACATGTAGGACATTGTTCTGTGTTTCATCTTTTTAAATTCCTCTTGACTTAAGCATCTTGTTACCAGCTCTGAATTAGAACTATATTTTGACCTAATGAATTTTGACCTGCGATGTAAAATAGCTCTGTTTTCTTCTACATGCCAAAATAGTTACGGTTGTGCATTTTCTCACTTAGAAAAAAGCAATTGCTTGGCATGTGATGAAAATTACTGTAAAATTTAAAATACATATATCATGAAAATTACTTTAATAAAAGTTTTGGTAATATTGTTAATAATCAGACATGCACAAGTGTGCGCAGTCATTTTTGGCTCATAAAGATTCCATGGTTTCAGATAGATATTTAAAGTATTTATTTAGTATCAATATTTAGTAGCCTTATCTGTTTTTTAACAGACTCTTGTTATCTGCTTGTAAGATGCATTAAAATCCCTACAAGAAGTTAAAGAAGGAAAAGAAAGTGAGCAGTATGTGTCTTTTAAAGAACTAGGTGTATGGGTTTGTGGGAAATAAAATGACTAATTAGAAGATGGACAAGATTAAAGTTAAATTAAAAATTATCTGACTGGAGTTCTGGTTTTGCATGCATTAGCAGGTGTCTTGTTTTTGTTTTTCTTTAAACTGTGGAACATAAGTTTTATAGGAGTCTTCACACAAGTCTTTTAGCCAGGTAACAATACTTTTGTAAAATACTCACAAGTACTTTTGAAAATTATATACTGTATAGCCTGAACGTAGCTTTGTAGGATGCTAACAGACTTATTAAAATGAATTGCCTGTATGTAATTTTTGTGCATTTTAAAATTTAAAATGTATAATTAGCTGATAAATTTCCCTGTGCAGGGGGTGAATGTACCAAATAATTGGTGATGTTCTCTTATTGCTGTCTTGCGGCAATATTTGGGAATCTTAAATGAGACCATGTGATACAGGACATATATATTCTGTTTACTTACTGTACTGTGATGTGACAAGAATTTGTGTTCCAGGGTACAGAATGTGCATCTGTCACTTACCTTGTCATCCAGTAAAACCAAACCTCATTGGAGACCAGGTAAAAATGCTGAATCACAGAAATATTTGTTACCCTACCAGGTGGGGGAAATGGGTGATTTAGGGGAACTTTTGTGATCTGCTTTAGTCACAAAATATGTCTTGCTATTCGGGGTGGGATACCAAAAGCTTATTGGTCCAGAATATAAGTAGATGTATCTCTCTGTTATTTTGGCGGGTAGCTGCCTGGATTGTATAAAACACTGTCACACTGGAGTAAACAGCAGCTTTATGTGGAAGAGATGAAGGGTTCATTAGGCCAGGTGATGGATGGATGCTTCTCAGTTCCTTCCCTGTGTGCTGAGTGTATAGAGTATTGGTAGAGTTTAACTGGTTGTGGTGCTGTGGCAGGATAGCTGTGCTGTGCTGGCTCTGTGGGTATGATTATTTACAGTCCCTGTGGCTGTAGATTCAAAATATTTTGTATGCGTTAGAGGTAGCAGACAGATGACTTCTTCATATGCCTGTGTTCAGGTATAGTTCTACTTTAACCATGATTATGTATTCTGAAACTATGCATATTTTACAGACATTTTCAAAGATGGGAGCCCATTACCATTGTATCATCTGTTCAGCAACTATCACACGAAGAACTGACATGATAGGTCATATTAATCGTCATGTGAATAAAGGAGAAACTGAATCAAGGTTTATTACAAGTAGGTTCTTACATAAAACATTTAATCTTTTTATACTATGTAGCATATGCAATAACTATGATATGTGGGTGAGAGACATGGGAAAAATTCTGAAACAGATTTAGCTTTACTAATGAGAAATCTGCCCTTATTTCAGAACTGTTTTTTTTCCCTCAAAGGTGTAGCAGTGTTCTGATTTAGTCTCTGCATTGACCAGTTACTCTGTTCTTATTGATAAATAATACTCCCTTTACAATTAATTTAATGTTGTAAATACAGGCTTCTGTGTCTCCAAAAGAATGGGGGACATGGCATCCATAAAACAAAATCTGTACAGAGCATTTCATGCCTCTGTATTTTGCCGTCTTTCTTCTTAAAACAGTCTGGAGTAAATCCTTCTGCAATATAAAAATCCTTTGCTTTTTATTCAAAATGCATCAGCATGGGTTCACAAATCAAGATGATGTTTTTTTTCAGTCCTGAAGAGTTGTGATAGAGGTGTCAATACTTCTTTGGTAAATTACAATCCTACCTGACTTTCTCCGGAATTAGACTTTTGTTTCTAAACTTGGATAAACTAAATTGAAAACTTTCTAAATAACTAGAATGCTAAATTTTGAAAATTAATTTTATTTCCTTTATTTTTGCAAGTTGTCTGTTCTCTACAGCAGTTAAGTAAAAAGCACATAATCGATTAGCTGGTATGTAAAAACTGAGGGGTTTTTGCTACAGCCCAGACTGTAACTGTTGAAAAGTAGTCTGATTGCTTTTTCTCTGTGTCGTGGTTTAACCCCAGCCAGCAACTAAGCACCACACAGCCACTCACTCGCTTCCCACCCACCCACCCACTGGTATCGGGGAGATAATCAGAAAAAAAGTAAAACTTGTGGGTTGAGATAAGAACAGTTTAATAGAACAGAAAGGAAGAAACTAATAATGATAACAGTAACAATAATAAAATGACAATAGTAATAATAAAAGGATTGGAATATACAAAACAAGTGATGCACAATGCAATTGCTCAGCACTTGCTGACTGATGCCCAGTTAGTTCACAAGCAGCAATCCCCCCAGGCCAACTCCCCCCAGTTTATATACTGGGCATGACGTCCCATGATATGGAATGCCAGTTTGGGTCAGCTGCCCTGACTGTGTCCCCTCCCAGCTTCGTGTGCCCCTCCAGCCTTCTTGCTGGCTGGGCATGAGGAGCTGAAAAATCCTTGACTTAGCATAAACATGTTGTGGTTTAACCCCAGCCAGCAACTAAGCTCCTCACAGCCACTCAACTTCCCCCCACCACCCAGTGGAATGGGGGAGAAAATCAGGAAAAGAAGTAAAACACATGGGTTGAGATAAGAGCAGTTTAATAGAACAGAAAAGAAGAAACTAATAATGATAATGGTAACACTAATAAAATGACAATAGTAAAATAAAAGGATTGGAATATACAAGTGATGCACAATGCAATTGCTCACCACCTGCTGACCAAGGCCCCGTTAGTCCCCGAGCAGTGATCCCCCCACTCCCCCCAGTTTATATACTGGGCATGACATCACATGGTGTGGAATATCCCTTTGGCCACTTTGGGTCAGCTGTCCTGGCTGTCCCCCCTCCCAACTTCTTGTGCCCCTCCAGCCTTCCTGCTGGCTGGGCATGAGAAGCTGGAAAACCCTTGACTTTAGACTAAACACTACTTAGCAACAACTGAAAACCTCAGTGTTGCCAACATTCTTCACATATTGAACTCAAAAACAGCACCATACCAGCTCCCAGGAAGACAATCAACTCTATCCCAGCTGAAACCAGGACAAAACACTATTTAGCAACAACTGAAAACATCAGTGTGTTGTCAACATTCTTGTCATCCTAAATCCCAAACATAACACTATACCAGCTACTAGACAGAAATCAACTCTATCCCAGCCAAAACCAAGACACTGTCTCTGTGTAGAAGTCTGGTTTTTATCTAGATACAATATAGTAAAGATGATCCTGGGAGCTATGAGGATCACCCTTCTTTCTGTTACCAATATGTGGTTTAGGAATAGTAGGTTAGTGTTCGGGCATCAGTTTGCATGTCTGAGAAGCGATATTAGCATATTCCATACCTTTAACTTAAATAGAGTTTGTGTTGTGAAATACATTAATCTCTGTATTGTTCTCTTCAGAGCTGTAAGTAAAGTATGGCCCATTTGTCATTTTTTTAACAAAATGCATCTGGCTATTTTTCCTCACAGGGAGAGGAGAAATCCAGAGGTCAGGTATTTCATGTTTTTTAGGTGCTTTAGCAACACTTGGGGGCTATGAACGTGGAGTGCGTGGTAGAGCTGTTCACAGATACGTAGTCTGTGTATTTGAAAGCACTGAGAGATAGCCAGGCTGAGCACTGAAAGGTATCAACTTGATAGCTAACAGATTTTTTCTGGTTGCTCCTGGGTAAATTTTGCTACTGTTAGACTGGGGATAAATTGCTCAGGAATGACAGCATGTCAAATCAGAAAGCTTGTTTTGCCACAGACTACTTTATAAAAAGCTTAAGTGCTGAAGTCGTCCCCATGCTTGTACTGTCTATACACATTTCATGAAGCTGTTTGATAACTTAACAGAGATTAGATCCAGGATTTTGAGGATTTTTGCAGTTCATTATATACATTCAGGACTATGTTAATAGGGTTTTAATTGATTAGCAATATATTATGTTCAAATACGTGAAACAAATGTGCTAAGTGTCAGGCTCAGGGGCTTGCTTCCTTAAATTTGAGTGGATAAATAGGAGTGCAACTGAGAAACAAATGTGGTACTTTATGGGATGAAAATTGTGGTAGAGCTTGATCCTTATCTGCCACTGTTAGGACTAGAAGATAAATTGTTGCCTGCTTTTTTTTTCCCCCACATACTTGTTAACTGATCCATGTGCTAGTTGGATTACAGCATAACCCAGACTTCTTGCTATATGGAAGCAAATTTTCAGTTTAATTTATCAAACGTGCTAACGTTAATTTCAATTCTCACTAACTCTTTCCTTCCCCTGCAATTACTTTCTTTTAGTTCCTGCTCCCAAGTCTTCTCATGAAGTGCTGAAAGAGTCGGCCACAGATGTTCAGGTTCTTCCCAACTACTCCACACCTCAGAAAACAGATTCCTATTTTAATCCTAAAATGAAACTCAACAGGTAAGAGAACAGGGAGTAGGAGGATGCGCCAGAGGGGTGGTGAGTTTGTAGTGAAAAATACTCTCACGTTTTGAAAATCAGACCCTGTGAAACTTCTGTTCAGAGGGTGGGAGAAATAGTTTTCCATCAGAACACTCATCTTGACAAATAATATTTAAACCCAAGAACACTATGGGAAATACTGTCATTTCTGAAGCAATTAAGTATTTTTCTGTAATGAGTAGTTTGTGGAGAACAGGATTTGAAAGGAGCACACTTGGAAACTAACTTCATTGTATACACTTAAAATGGTTTTCTGTGAATCTCCACAAGATACTATGCATAGTCAGTGCTCTCTCTCCTCTAACTGAACAGCAGCATACCTGTAATTCACAGTTTTCATATTCTAGGCCTTTTTCTCTTGGGACTCAGATTCTCTCAAGTGTCTTCTCGTTATTGCATTTAAAACAATGAAGGAACAAACATGGTCTTTTTTTAAGGAGAGTCATGAATGGTGTCTGCACGACAACTTAAAGGAGCAAGCATTGACACCAATGCATGAGACTGCGCTTCAGCCCGTGCTGACCCCTCATGTTCTCAGTGCTGTTAGTATTTGAGCTTCCGGGTTTAAAGTTAGCTCAGTGTCATGGTTTAACCCCAGCCAGCAACTAAGCACCTCGCAGCCACTCACTCACTTCCCCCCACCACCCAGTGGAATGGGGGAGAAAATCAGGAAAAGAAGTAAAACACATGGGTTGAGATAAGAGCAGTTTAATAGAACAGAAAAGAAGAAACTAATAATGATAATGACTAATAAAATGACAATAGTAAAATAAAAGGATTGGAATATACAAGTGATGCACAATGCAATTGCTCACCACCTGCTGACCAAGGCCCCGTTAGTCCCCGAGCAGTGATCCCCCCACTCCCCCCAGTTTATATACTGGGCATGACATCACATGGTGTGGAATATCCCTTTGGCCACTTTGGGTCAGCTGTCCTGGCTGTCCCCCCTCCCAACTTCTTGTGCCCCTCCAGCCTTCCTGCTGGCTGGGCATGAGAAGCTGGAAAACCCTTGACTTTAGACTAAACACTACTTAGCAACAACTGAAAACCTCAGTGTTACCAACATTCTTCACATACTGAACTCAAAAACAGCACCATACCAGCTACCAGGAAGACAATCAACTCTATCCCAGCTGAAACCAGGACACTCATCCATCTGTGAACGCTAAGGCATGCCTCTGAAGAAGGCCACTGCAACTAAGGTTATGGCCATGTCTAAAAGAACAAGGCCTGTTCCTCAACAGAGTGGAATTTCATTGCTCTACAGTAACTTCTGACATCTTTTTAAACACAGAGCCATTAGTAGGGTAGTACCAGATTGTGCTAGGATAGTAAGAAAAACACTATTTACTTTTGAATGCTAGCCACTTCTTCCAGTAAGTTGATTCAGGATCTTGCCTTATAAATATCCTGCTGTAGAATTAAACTTTTAAAGATAGCTGAGGTTTTTGATTTACAATTCTTCTGTGTAAAAGGTAGAGTTTAGCTTAAATGTTCTAGTATTATGTTCAAGGGAAATAAATAAGGAAAAGGAAGGAAAAATATTTTATCAACTTACTTACTATGACCATTCTTTTTTATTTTCAAGGCAATTGATATTCTGCGCACTAGCTGTTCTAGCTGAGGAACGTAAACCGATAGAATGTTTGGATGCTTTCGGTGCCACTGGTAAAGTCAATATCTTTAATCTTTTGGCTAATACCCAATAGTATGAAGATGCAGAAATCAATTGTAACTGACAACGCATATTGAAAAATAACGTGAGGTACACAATAATTTTCTTCCTTAGGCAGGGAGTCATTAGCTTCCATATAAAAAAACCAGCCATCAAGAGCCTGGTGTTAGGCTTTTTGAAGAGACTGTAAATAATACTAAAGTTTAGTGGTCTCCTTTACAATCAGTTGCCTTAATGTCCATGAAATGGCATCTTCCTAAACTTGCATCCAAGTCACAGATCTCTTTTAGTCACAAGAGGCTGTGGAATTCAGCTGTAAAATCAACCTGGAGTTTAAAAATGGTGATGAATCCAAGCTTCTTTATCAGAATCATCTCTTAATTGAGTAAAAAAATTCTGATCATGAACTAAATGTAGTTATATCAATGTCTATTAACCATTTGGAACAAAAATCTGAAGAGATCTGGATTGCTGCCTCATTATCAGCCAGCTACTGCAAACTTAAGGTTGTAGTTGAGAACAGCAGTAACTGCTTAATATTTTGCATTAAAATTCTTTATAATGAATTTATCACCATTCTGAACTTGGCCAGACTTCACAAGTGCATCCTGTCCTCATTTCTACAATGTAGCCATAGACTTTACTACAGAAGTCAGCAATAAACACTTGGAGGGAGCCTAAAAATCTTCGCAATACCTATTCTCAAGTTTATGTTTTACGGTGGTTTGTCACAGGAGTCTGTCTGCTACACTGGAGTGTTGAACAAGCCAAGGGGCTTTCCTGCAGATTGGGGGTCCAGCCTGCTAGAAAAATCTTTTGGTCTATGGCCCCAGTTATCATATAAGAAGGTGACAAGCAGACTGTTCCTTTACATAGCCCATTGTCACTCTGTGCTGAGGCAGAAGGTCACCAACACGTTTTTGCAGGAACGTGACAAAATTTGCATCACACATACTTCTGTATTATAAGCATTTAAAAGGATGAATTTTTTTCTTAGCGAGTTCAGCAACTTGGAAACCAACTCCTTATTCTGTCACGGAGTTACAATTCTGTCTTTCCTTAGGTATAATGGGATTACAATGGGCAAAGCATCTCAGAAGTTCTGTGAAGGTTACAATTAATGATTGTAATGAAAATTCTGTGACAATGATTCAGGAAAACTGCCATTTAAACAAAATGAAGGTGAAACTGCACACTAAGGAACAAGACTATGATGAAGCTATGGGAGATGGAGGAGAAAATAGTGACACCATTGAGGTGACAAAAATGGATGCCAATGTTATAATGCATTTGAGATCATTTGATTTTATGTAAGTGTTGAATGTTTCTGTTAATAATTTTCTAGTTTGATAATGACACACCCCACCCTGTCTCCCAGTATATGATTATTGGGGGAAGTTGGAATGAAAGAAATAACCAACAGTCACTTGGTATTTTAAATGTAATTCTGTTGTCCCAGAAATGGTGTGGGAACAGACTTTAATGTTAAATGTTTTAGAGATCGCTGGAAAAATATTAAGCCCTTCTGACATCCAGAATGGACTACAAATGTATATGAAAATTTTAAGCCAAACTTTTGATAGAGAAATGTCAAATCAGTCTTTTTGGTTTTCTTCTTAAAACTTTTAATTAGTTTAAAATTCATACCTTTGCATCTTGTTGTGTAGGACTTTATTGCACCTCTTGTTTTAATTGATTTTGCAGCATATTAATTTTCAATTAAAGTAAGCTAATTCTTCCAAGTTGGGTTTATAGATGCGTACATTCTAAACCTATACAGACGTCAAAATAAGTGATCAGATTTTTTTTTTATTGATTAACATCCAGATCTAAGCAGCAGGTATTCAGGTTGAAAATTAGGCTAATTATTTAGTACGTAAACTGGAATGCATACATTTGAAGATATTTTTGTTTTTAGAAGTTTCCCTTTGTTTTAAGGAGGAAGGTAAGCATCAGGCCAATATTCTTATAACTTGAATAAGTCAGTCAGGATGCAAAAAAAAGTACTTGCTGGCTTTGTGGTGATGTGTATTTTCCAGCACAGTGCTTCCCTGGCTCTTGCAAGTATTCCACAGTAATTCATGAGAGGTGTGCTGTAAATTTTAGTCCCGTTTCCCCTTTTGTTTTAAATATGACCATAGGTGAAGATTATAAAATGGTGTTTTCCTCAGTTTGAAGCTAAACTCTTGAGCATTTATAGATACTCAGTGGTATTTCCTTTCTCTTCAGCCATTTGGATCCCTTCGGAACTTCTGTGAATTATCTGGATTCTGCCTTTAGAAATGTGAGAAATCTTGGAATTGTGTCACTCACGTCCACAGACATCAGTTCTCTGTATGCAAAGGCTCAACACGTTGCCCTGCGTCATTACGGATGTAATATTGTCAGAACTGAGTACTACAAGGAACTGGCAGCCAGAATAGTAATTGCTGCTGTGACAAGGTACTGCTAAATCAGCTCAAATTATGGTAAAAAAAGGACTAGAAAATCATTAGCAATAAAAAACTTGAGACTGCTGCTGTAGGTTGTACATGTTCAGTTTGCAGAATTCCCTAATTCTAAAAGCCAGACTACTTGATACAAAATTATTGTTTCATATTTTATGTGTGCTGCTATGGGATAATGTAAATTTTAAACTAAAAGACTGGGCAAAGTGAAAATGCATAAATAGGGTAGGAGTTTGGGATGGTGGGGAGTTTTCTTGGTGCTGGGGAGAGACAGTAATAGAAAAAGCAATACCCAGACTTTCCTATCTGCAAACTCTTTTATTCCTCTGTCAATTTTGTCATTTTAGTGCTGCATAGGACTCTGTCAATATTAATGAAGCTGCTTGAATGGCTTCTAGCTAAGCATTACAGTTAGACTTGCTTCAGTAGAAACTGATGTTCACTTCAGATCCTTGTGCTCGAGCTTAAAAAGATACACGTAATTACTAACTTGTGAAATTATTCATTTGCGTGTAGATACTCTCAGTAAATTCAGTCTGTTAAATAAATGAAGACATAAAACCTGGTCCCTAATTAGGGGGAAAAAAGGTACAGGCAAGAGGATGGGACAACTAACTGCTTGGGAAAGACTGGGAGGAAAATTAGGTGCACAGAGGTCTTTCAGAATGCCAGAGCGCAAATACTGACCTGAATATGTTTAGATTTTACTTCTTTTTCACCCTGCATATGTGAAGTTGCTCATTGCAGAATATTCTCAGATACAGACATGCTGCTCAAGCAAAGTTTTAGTTGTGTTCTGGCTTACATGCTCCAACTCCCTAAAGATTTCTTCTTCCTTCTCAAAGCTTATATTCAGGAACTGCTCACTTACCTTCCCACAGTCCTTATTAGTCAACATTCAATGATTTACCATCACGTGTGTCCCTCTACATTTCTGCTTTCTTGGATTTTCATTTAGTTTGTTTATATTTTTTGTTGCAATATCCTGGCAATAGGTAGGTTTTGGGATAGAAAGATGATGCAGGTGACAGACCAATATTTCTAGATGTGATAAAAAGAAGTAAAACAAGATTTGCATAGCTTTACAGGCAGTAGACAAAACTAGGCACCTGAGAAACAACACTTTCTCCTGATTACTTTCTTGGATCTTTAGTATCTCTTTTCTAGAAAGTGGATGAGCTCAAGAATCTTCCAGAAGGTTCAGGTGTCCATGGCAATCTTAGTCTGCTGATTTCAGTACAATGTGGTTTTGTGTTTGTTCTTCCTTCATAGAGCTGCAGCTCGCTGTAACAAAGGCATTGAAGTTTTACTTGCAGTAGCTCTAGAACATTTTGTTCTAGTAGTGGTCAGAGTTTTAAGGGGGCCATCCCCTGCGGATGATTCAGCAAAGAAAATAAGATACCTCATCCATTGCCAATGGTGCGAAGAGAGAATTTTTCAGAAAGAGGGTAATATGGTAGAAGGTAAATGGCTTTTCCTTTGTACTTTCTAGAAGGTCCGATTCCTGTTTCTCCATTTTGTATTTGTTTAGGCCTTGTTTGTATCTACATCCCTTTAGTAAAGTAATAATTCCCTTTAATGTAACAAGTGTATTGTATGAGGTGGAGAAGGTACCATGCTTTCTGGTAGTGGGCTAGATTAGTTGTCTGTATGGATTTTGCTGTAAATGTACTGGATTTGTTTCTAGACAGGACATATTCCAACTAGCTGTAGCTGCTGAAGCTGCCAGGATGCCTGATATGCCTATGGATCTGTCTTTTCAGTGAAGGGCATGAAAAGTGGGGCAGTCTTGGCTACCATTCAGTTCCTCCATACAGTGGCAGCTTGATAGATTTCAGTGTCAGATTGCTTTCCTACTGTTCATTTCAGTTACCTCAAAATGTAGTGGACTAAGCAGTATCACTTTGCCATCAGATGAGGGTGTATTCTGCCTGGCCTTGGGCAGTATCCATGCCTTATGGAAGTATGTCAGCAGGTGTGGTAGGAAAGGTATGCAACATTCCTGTAATTCATCTAACACTTGGTGGTAAATGAAGGCAGCCTCTAGGTTAAAAGTTGACTGTTTGTGGGCTGTCTCTATACATGAGTTAGCAGAGGTAGGAGACAAAAATTAAGCGAAGAGGCCAGATGGTAGTTTGAATGAATATAAAAGGAAAAACCTTGTTTCAAAGTTACCGATTCTTGGATATCTAACTACTAACTGGTGGTGTCTTTGACTACCCTGCTCAAAGTCAGGTGCAGGAGCATGCAATGAGCTTGTTTAAAAAGATTAAAAAACCTTAGATACAAGTTTTAAGAACAGAAGTGAGTAACTGATGAGTACAGTGTTACGGTAGAGATCTTAATTAGTAAATGAATTGTTTACTTAATGCCTTACTTGCAAGCGAGCTGACTTACAGCTTAGGAAACTTGTAGGTGGGCTATATTTTGTAGATGTAATTGGCTGATCTCTGAAAAATTTTTTGTTATTTACTGTTAACCTGGACAGCTACTTATATAAGTGTAGGAAGGCTAACAATTTCCTTGTTACTTGAATTCTGCCAAGAAGCATAGGAATTATGTGGCTTTTTAGTTGTTTTTTTTTCCTTCAATGCTTTAACAATGATTAAAGATCAAGTCACCAATCATTAAATTCTCATAAGCACTACTACTTGGCAGAATTGAGAACGGTGTCACATTTCTGCTGTTGCTTGCCCTTCCAACTACCTCCACTGAAGTAAGCTACTACTTCTGTCTATGTCATCTCTCTCCAGTAAAGTAGGCATTGCTGACTATTCCAAAACAACTTAAATCCTGTTTTTCTGTTGTAGAAAACCCTTATCAGCAGCTCCCTTGTGATTGTCATGGCAGTATGCCTGGGAAGACAGCAGTAGTTCTTGGTCCACTCTGGTAAGTACGGAACACAGTACCAGAACTGGAGAATTAATTTGGGTTGGAAGAACCTCCGGAGGTCAGCTGTTCCGTCACACAATAAAAATGCAAGTCTTCTGGATATTTTAGCACTACAAAAGGTGCTATAGCAATCAGGATGAATCCAGGAAACACTGAATTGATTTGAATTTAGTAGGGTATTCAGTTTTTGCTTTTGTTATCATAGACTTCAAACCAGTTAATAAATAATAAGAAATTTGCTTTAAACTTCAGATTCAGTGCAACTTACATAATATGTCCTACACAGGAGAACCTGGCTGTGTGTTCCTCTAGTTGCCAAATATTAAGCAACAGTTTATTACTTGATACTTGTGGAGAATTTATTTAGTAAATCCTTACATGTGCTGGTGGTAGTAAATAATACACTGCTTGATAACTAATACTTAAAATTTTCTCTTGTGAGAAACAAGAATAAATCCTTTTGTTAAGTCTTTTAAGACTTCTGTTTAAGCTTTTTCAAAGCAGTGTTAGAAATGGTTGACAATTGACAGTACCTTTCTTCTGGGGGTTTGTCCCGGTTTCTGCTGGGATAGAGTTGATTGTCTTCCTAGTAGCTGGTACAGTGCTGTGGTTTTGAGTTAGGTATGAGAAGAATGTTGATAACACTGATGTTTTCAGTTGTTGCTAAGTAGTGTTTAGTCTAAAGTCAAGGGTTTTTCAGCTTCTCATGCCCAGCTAGCGAGAAAGCTGGAGGGGCACAAGAAGTTGGGAGGGGACACAGCCAGGACAGCTGACCCAAAGTGGCCAAAGGGATATTCCATACCATGTGACGTCACATCTAGTATATAAACTGGGGGCGGGGGGATCACCGCTCGGGGACTAACTGGGTGTCAGTCAGTGGGTGGTGAGGAATTGCATTGTGCATCATTTATATATTCTAATCCTCTTATTATTACTGTTGTCATTTTATTAGTGCTATCATTATTAGTTTCTTTTCTGTTCTATTAAACTGTTCTTATTTCAACCCATGAGTTTTACTTGTTTTCCTGATTTTCTCCCCCATCCCACTGGGGGGGGGGGGGCGGGGAGTGAGCGGCTGTGTGGTGCTCAGTTGCTGGCTGGGGTTAAACCACAACAGGGTTAAATAACTTTCTGAACATAGTAGGGCAAGTCAGTGGTGGAAATAAAATTACCATTGTTGAGATCTTGATTTTTTTAACACAAGACCAATGTTACTGTCACTGGAAACAAAGCAATTCAATATTGCTAAGTTAAGAACACAGTCAGCCTGATGCAGCACATTGCGGTAATACAGTTGCTGATCAATTTGGGCAAGAGATTTTTAGAGCAACTTTTTTGCTTTCATTAAGAAGTCTTAACTTTTCACTTGTCTTGTATGTCATAGGTCAGGAGCCCTCTTTAACACTGGATTCCTCAGAAGAATGCTGTTTGAGGCTGTCCAGTATGGTTTGGATGAAGCTCAGCCACTTTTGAAGACGTTAGTTTGTGAAGCAGACTGTACAACTTTAAAACATTTTTCTATCCATAGTCTTTATGATGAGAACAAACAAGGTAAGAAAAATGGCAGACAGTTCACAAAAAGGACTGGCTTTGTGGTGATTTAGAGAGATATTGCTCTTTGACTACTAACAGCAGTGTATTCATTAAAAGGTCAAGAAAATGTTTGTTGCTTGGAATGCAGTGTGGGACTTGTCAGCTTTTGTCAGATGGTCTTTGGTGCTGCAAAAAGAGTAGGGGCTGTCAGAGGCAGAGTGCTGGATTTAGACATCTTTAATCGGTATGACAGGTCCTAAACCAACTGAAGATAATGCAGGCAGGGTGACTGCCATGAAATCCAGCACGTTCCTTGAAGGAGATGGAAATACGAAGCATCTGGTAGTTCTTTGGTGTACCCCAATCCCAGCCTGAGAGCATGTGCTGTTAGGAAGAGAGGGCTGCAGCTGTCATGCTCTGCCAACCCCACAGGGATTGCAAATCAGTGTGCCAAAACAAATGGCTTTCTGTACGGGAATGCTGTTCCACTGTTAAGTGAAATTGTATTTTGAATATGTCCTCTAAACACAAGTTACTGAGTTTGTAAGTAAAAGTTACACATATGTATGCTGCTTACTACATTTCCTTCTTTAGGCCAGAATGTGGTATTCTTTCTTTCTGTTTATTTAACCAAGGCATTTTGCCATTTTACTGTCTTACAGTAGAATTAATTTTGACTTTTAATTGTATTCTAGAAGAGTGTGGCGTATATATTAAAACACCAAATACTACTGCAGAATCCTGCTTGGTACATGGTAAGTTGATCATTTTGGTGTCACTCTAGCAGTTTCAAAGTAAACTATAGTTTAAGTGATGGCTAAGCCAACCTAGTGTTCATGTATTTTTTTTATATTTAACAATATTGGTAGTCAGGATTTATTTTCCCACCGACTACTGATTTTACTTTACCTTCATCCAGAATTGTATTCACTGGTAAAATCAGAACGCTAAATACTCCATGAAGCCTTATTGATTTCACTTTTTATTACTGAAAATGGCATGTTAATAAAATTCAGGCTAGATTTTAACTCTGCAAAATATTAGGTTATAAAAGCAGACACAAAACTGTAGTTGCTGTGTGGCTTTTTTTTGTATGTACTGTCTTTGGCTTCACTGGCAATTTTCGTGGCCTCACTGAATACTCAACTGGTTTCACTGGCATTTTTTGTGGTCCAGGAAAAAGAAAAAGCGATGAAGTGATTCGAAATGCAGCCAAGCGACAAAAATCTGAGAACAGTGCTGAGCATCCTGCATTTTACTACAATATCCACAGACACAGTATTAAAGGAATGAACATGCCAAAGTAAGGTTTTCATTTAAGTTCCAGTCTTAGATTACTATGACAACTGATACATAACTTACATTGAATCGGCCTTATTAGCATTAACTCCTTTTTAAATGTCTGGGGCTTTTTTCAGGTTAAATAAGTTCTTAAACTATCTTTCTGAAGCTGGATACAGAGTAAGCAGAACCCACTTTGATCCTATGGGAGTTCGCACGAATGCGCCCTTGGCACAGTTTAAGACTATTCTTATGAAGTACAGCACTCCCACATACCTTGGGGGGCAGGCAGAAGGCCCTGTCCATCTTCCTGAAGATGTCAAGGCAGGAGAACAGGTTCAGGCTGCTGCAGACAGCAAGGCAGAAGATGCCGAGTTTCTGGAAGACGATAAATCTGGAGTTGCTCCCGCCATGTTCACAAAAGACTACCCTACTCACTGTGGAGCTGATTAATGCAAATCCTTTTGTTAGTAGATCAGGATATTGCAATCTTGCAAGCACACCCTGTTCAAGTAAGCCAGTACTTTTTACTAAACTGGATTTTGAAAACTTGAATTGCCTGCTATTTTAATTTGGAAAGATGTTTTAGAATTATGTAGCAGAACTTACCCCTGATCACAGCGTGCATGGTCAAGGTACTGTTACTGTGGGAAGGTTTCGGAGACAGTTACTTGCTTTTACAGTCACATCCACTTTCACACTGAGGCACTGTGGCTGCTCCCGAGTCTTTGTTTAAGCCTTATTCCTAGCACAGAATTGTGGATGGGGCCAAAAGTCTTAAGCATTTTTGAACATCAGGTTAATATGAAACGGAATATTCCTAAACTAAATCATTCCTAAAACCTGACTGGTTACAGTTCAGAGGGAGGTCATGTTAAGATGATAAAATATCACAGGATAAAATGTGATCCGAGTTTAAGCAAGCCAGAAAGTCCTAACTCGGTGCACTTCTAACTCCAGATTGCACGTGTAATTTGGCATTCAGTTCTGTTTTCATAGTTCTGCCTACAAGCAAGGACCTAACATGAGTGAGAACGGAAAGGAATGGTTGCAAGACTGTTACTGAAACTTCAGTTTATAACCAAACTTTAGTGAATTGTGTTAGTCACCCTAGGTAGTTGTTTGTTCAGAGATTACATTTGGTTGTGTACTGCAAAAAGGTACAGCGACAAGGCACCACAAGTTGAAGTTCTAAGTGAAGTTTTGCTACGAGTTTGTCAATAATACAATCTTAGCTGTTAAAAAGATCTCTTCTGTGAACGAGCAAAGATGCTGTGTGTTGGTTCTGGTTTCCTTAAATATATGGCAGCATTCCAGCCAAATAAGCTTGACTTTGTCCTTTCTTTGCCCCAGACTTTGTTCAGATAGATACTTCCGTATATTTCACTTGAATTGGGAACAATGATCACAATTGAACTAGTCATTCCAGTTTTTCACAGGTTTGGTGTTCAACCTGGCCCCCAGTGTGAGGGGTTGTTGTTCTTACTTATCCATATCTGAAACTTTACAGTAAGAGTGTTGCTTCTCTCTCATTGAGCGCCAACCAAGAGTAACAGGACTGATATGCTCCTGATGATGCAAAACTTCCTAAGCTCCTATCAGGCCAGAATTAAGTTACTGCCTCTTACACCATCTTAAATTCAGGACTGCTTTGGTAAGGAGTTATTTTCATTCTGTCCTAATTAAAAGAGGAGACCACTAAAGGGATAATAGATTGCACTTCAGTGATACAGCAACAAACTAAGTTCCCTTCAAAAATGTAGTGCTTATGGTTCTTTGTTCCAAAGATAACTTGGGATCAAATTGGAAAAATAAATGCCAAGGAGAAAGAAGAGTTAGTATTCCCGAGTTGTTTTGAACTAAGTCTTTATTTTTTTTAAGTGGAGAAACTGTTGGAAGGCTTTGCTTGCAGATAACACACTATTCCCTTCAGTGTTAACGTAAGTGGGATGGAATCAGTCATAAAGTTGGTTAACTGGAGCAAAATAGTGTTCCAATTACAATAAAGTAGGCTAAAAAGAAAGTTTAACTGAAGCCTGTTGTAGGAAATACTTCTGATGATTGATTACTTTTACAGCTCCTCCTAAGTAATGGAAGGCATCTTTTCTAAGTCAAAGCAACTGTTCCTTGGTGTTTGCAGCTGTGCACAAGGAGGGGCAGAGAAAGTGAAGTTCAGGCTTGTCCATACAATTCAGGCTTTTTTCCTCTGTCAGATAGGCAGAAGCCATTATAATCTGGGACAAGGCATTTTGCCTGTTGTAAGTGACCAGCAGAAGAGCTATTTGTAACTAAGGCCTCAGAATTCTTTCTGTTCAATAGTTGTCTCAGTCCTGCAATAATTAGTTAACAGAACACTAGTGTTGGTTTAAGGCTGTTGTTTGGGGGCTTGTTGTTATTTCTCAGTTGTTCTACAAGGTATGACTAATATGTTGTCCTCATGCTGTATGGAAACAGGGTTTGGGGAACACAGCAGTCTGCTTGGCTGTGCTTCAAAACACAGTAGTGCAGAGCGCTCCTTGCATAACAGCATAACCCAAGCCAGTTTTATAGTTGATAGTTGGCATATTACTTTGCCAGGCACTCTGTGCCACTATCGCTAATGACAGACCTTCAACATGCAACAAATCTTTGTTGGATCAAGGTGTTAGTGCAAGTGGCTTCTGCTGAACTGAAAATCAAACTGATAACTGCTGAAACCATTAGGGTACTGAAATCAGTATTAGGTTATCAGCTGATCAGCATGCTGGAGGACAAAACACCAAAGGATGGTGGAAAATTAAGTTTTAGGATATGATCTAGTTACCAGTATGGGTAGTACAGTGGCATCTCTAATGCTTTTGAGCTGAAGGATATGTCCACCTACCCATTGCATACAGCAGAGAGTGGCTGCCCACGAGCACAGAAGTTCTCTGGGTGTTTTCTGTTTAGCTCTGATTGAGGGAAGCTTTTAAGCGAGTCAAGGCCGTTCCAAACAAGGCTGTGAAAATTAGTGTCAGCACAGTGAGCAGCAGGAGCACAGGCAGAAAGGGGACCTCCTTCTGCAATCGCAGAGAGCTGAAGTTTAGTACATCTCAAGAAACCCTACTCTTAGTGTACACAAGCATTCCCTCTTAACTTCAAGTGCATCCTTCTGGTTGAAAGTTGTAATAACTGTAGAGAGAAAACAAGGAAAGGAACAGAACTTCACTTTTTTTAATAACATACCTCAATGCAAGTGATTCGTTGCAGTTACCTTATGCTGTTTTCTGCTGAAGCTGCTTCATACACAGTTAAACACAACGCAAGTTGCTGAGTTTAACCTGAGTGCTGTGAAAATCCTTCATCCCATTTCTCAGGCTACAGGATCAGATTAGAACAGCAGCCCCTACAGCAGGTCACTGGAGGAGCAGTTATCTTCTACCTGCCTCTGCATTTCTCATTCAAGGCACATAACCAGCTGAACTCCTCTATGTGTTCCAACGGAATGTAACAGTGTTCGGGGGCCAGACTCAACTCAGATCAACACCAGTGGAGGTCAGCTGCACCTCCTCACCCTTCCCCTCTGGGCAACCACAAACACAGCAGAACTAACAAGCAAACAAAAACTGTCCAAAGGGTTTCCATTATGAATTATAAGAGGAAGCAGCACTGGACTTTCCAATAGGTTGTTGATAACATTTTTGCTTTTATTGTCAGTTTGAGAATTTCAGGGTGACTTCAGTTGGATACTAGAGCTATTAGGCATATCTGTACCTAACACGTGTATTTAAAAAATAACATGGCTTTAAAAGGTGGAAGAGTAAAGTCATTTTGAAAATAAAATAGTTTATAGCACTAAAGAGTCACAGTGCAATCAATGGTTTAATCAAACTACATTATATATATAATATTTAAAGAACATAAATATTCAGTAAATTCACTACAACATGAAAATAAGCGCTTCACATTCTCCCACGCTTTTTAAAGAACTGGGGACAAAGTGACAGACAGCTCCTAGACAGACTGCTCAGCTTCACAAACACCTCTCTTGCTTAAGGGACTGGACATTACCTTAGCTATCACAATGGGAAGGTATCCTGCAACTAATCTAGAAGTTTCCCCATTAATTTTAAAGCATTTATAATCACCGCTCCCTCATCCCCCAGATTATATTTAGTGGACATGCACTACTAATCTATACAATGCAACGTTTCACCAGAAAGTCATGAATAACGTATTTCCTTAAAAACTGCCCCTTCTGTGTTCTGGGGCTTTTCATGTCACAAAACCCCAAGTTTTTTCCAGTAAGAGAAAATAATTAAGTTACTCAAAGAAGCCTGTGCAGTTTTCACATCGGGATAAAGCTGATCTGAAACAGCAGTTGGAATGGACACGTATTTACAAGTGCTAGGCTTGAAAGACAGAAGTGATGGAAGGGTACTTCCTTCCCAAGAGAATCCCCGAGCATCTGAATACTTACGTACCACATGCCAAAACCAGTCTAACTATGGGCAAGACAAAGAAGGAACAATACTGTATGGTTTAAAGTATATTACTTCTCACCTATCGGCAACATTTTTCGCTTCTAGCTTCAGGTGCGAATGGGTGAACGCTTCATCAGCCAGTCTTACAGCAAAGGAAATCTCTCATGGTAACATTTCCCATAAGACGGAATGCTAACAGATAAAGCAGCCCCCATTAAGTGACAAGGTCCAGAGCGAGGGAAGAGGAGTTTTAACATGCAGATGAACGGTAGCTACTGGACGTTACACAACAGCCTACTGCCAAGTTTTAAAACCTGAACCTAAATTTAAGACACTAAATGGTAAACTTTGTCAAGTACTAAAATTGTCTTCCAAAGTGCTAAGCCACATTTGTTAAAGCTATGGCAAAAAAAAAAAAAAAAAAAATCAATCTTCAAGCAGCTTACAGTTGAAGTCCTCCCTACTCAGACTGAAGCCTGGATAAGCTCACAGCTGGGGTGGCACAAATTCCATAAAGCAAAGCATTTCAATGTTGCATTATGTCCACGTGCTGGAATTTCGGGGATTTGCTTTAAAAAAAAGTTTTCAGGACAGTTCTTTACAGAACATTCTAATACATTCTCAATAAAAATCTGTTACTATAGGGAACAGAGTAGAGCTGTAGAACTTCCAGAAAATTTTCTTCAATTAAGCTCGTGAGGACAGGATAACACTGCAACAGGGGCCAGGCGGGAAGCTGCAGTGTGCATCAAGATTGGCATGTTCTACACAGGAAAGAGTTATGGGTGTGGGTTGTTTGGGGGTTTTTTTGTTTACTTTTTAATGAATATTTCAGTCAATCTCATGAATTACCTTGCACTGAAGTATTAAGCCCAGTAAAGGGCAAGGATTTAAAGTGTCAGTTTCCTCACTACAGCTGTTTCTTCACAAGAAAATGACTAACAGATCTCTTCCAGGGAATCAGATTACCTCTAGCTGCAAGACTATCAGAAATCAATTCTCTACCAATCTTTTATATGGATAACCATTAGCAAATTACAACATTTAACACATTCCTTGGCATATGTTACTATTGAATAGACTGACTTAGCCATCCAATGCTCAATACTTCACAGAGGCTACTATAACTGTGTCAAATGTATTAGAAATCCAGATTTACCTGGACAAAATTAAGACATTCCAAACTGGAACACTTGTTCAGTTATCATGCATTAGGAACAAAAAAGCATGTCAAACACTGGAATGTACTGGAGAAGGTAATTTAGTCTCCTAGGGAAAAACCAAAAACCCAAAACAAAGACTAAATCAAATACAACCCAGAATACTGTCTAATCATATTAATAAGTATAGTGAGAGAACCTGAAGGCATCACATGTATTGTCCATAAAGATAATGGTGGTGCCTTCTTTTAATATTAAAGAATTCATAGCTATAAAAAGAGTTAGTCCCATCTCAGTTTTCCAGTACAGCTTATTTATGTTCCTTTGTTGGTGCATAGTAAAGTTCCATGGGTTTGTTCACTTTCCAATACTTCTCACTGACCAGTTCCAAGGAAAATGACCCATTTAATACCTAGAAGAGAACACCAAAACAGAAATTAAATAAATCTGATGGCTTGCACGGGTAGCACTGTAGAAACAGACTACTTAAATCAGAGGAATGCACTGACTTTAAAGAAGTCACCAATAATGTGGCGCAAGTTACTAGCTAACCATTCGGCATCAAAAAACAACACTGCAAGCTATTCCAAACTCCTGCTGATCTCACTAAAACAGCACCGAAAAACACTCTTGCAAAGTGAATATAGTTGTAAATAAAGTGAACTTCAGTTTTCCTCCTTCCTCTCTGCAAACAGCAGGAGTAGTAGATGTGTATTTACACCAGAAGCATCTCTGCTTTTGTCTAAGGCACAGTCTATAGTCATGTTTGAAATAGACTCTCACTGCAAAGCATCTGCCTATCTCTTAACCAGAAGACTTACTTTATTCAGATAAACGCCCAAGTGTAATACCAGGCTCAGAGTTCATTCTGATTGTGATACTGCCTTGTTGTTGTATCCGTATATTCTGAAGTCAGCAACCGAGAGGAGGGATTCTTCCCTAAAAGTGTACTCACAGCTGTTTCATAGTGGAATATTGGAAGCCTACACAGAAGTGGAGAAATGCTACCCTACAATAGATGCTTCCTGGTGCTAGAGCTATCTGCTTTTGAAACAAGATTCTCAGATGAAGTAATATTTTTCCTCTTCAATATCAACTGTAAAATAATGGCATAAGTCAGCTAGTAGTTGCTGGCATCACTGGATTTTTCCCAAGTAATTTATATGCCTCCTTTTCTACTAACCAAGCTTTTGTTGTATACATTTTCCTAAAAAGCAATTGATGGGCTTCTAAATAAACAACCTGGTGCTATGAATTTTACCCCTACACCAACTCAGGAAAAGTCCAGCTGAGTGAATTTTAATCAAATCTGTATCAAAGATGTATTGATGCTCAGTTTTACCCTTAGAAGTTGTACTTACAGTGAACTGCCCATTGGCAGTAGCAATGTAAATAGTATACTGCTTCTCACTGGCCGTGTCAAGGTTCATCTGGTTTGATTCTCCTTTGCTACGAAGCTCCTCCAAAGCCAATCTCACAGCTAAGTACTTGGACAAGTGATCAACGGTGGCATTGCCTGAGGTCTTGATGTATCTGTGACAACAACCACAAAGATAATCAAAGACGTTTGAGTTGCAGTATAGGGAAAAGACATCTGGAACACCCTCAAATATTAAGCATCAAGTGTGAAAAGGCCTTTAAAGACAGTTCACAAACAAGAACATTAATTGCTTTCACCCAAGACATACAAGCAGCTTACCAAATTACATTGTTCCAAAGTGCCCTTACATCTTTTTGACACTTCTCCCACAGGCCCTCTTGCTCTTTGTAGAGAAGACAGCACTGCCCTGTCACCTGCTCGAAATGAAAAACCTAATAACAGGTTGTCAAGGGGTTTTGAGAACTACTCACAACTGCTGGTATCTTCGGAGTATAGATACAGTCTGAAGAGCCCGGACAGAAAGGTGTAAGGTGCAAGAGCTATACATACAACGCTCTCTGCATCTCCTTGAAGTTACTCTTCCTTATTGTCTCACTATCTGTTCTCACTTCAATTCTTCATGCAAGAATTAAAGGCTGACACAAATGCTGCAAAGGCCTCTCCCAGAAGCTTAGCTTTCTCTTTGCCTTTCAGAACAACCCCCAGAACTGCCTTGCAATTCCAAACCAAAAAGAAAAGCTGGCTGAAGCTTATATTTATAGACACTACAGAGAGATGTCTCAACAGGAGAAAAAGCCAGGAAGAGATCTGAGGAAACGCCATGAGACTGCTCATTGCTGTGATCCAAAATTTGCAGTCTGTGCTTGGGCTGATCGTGAAGGAAAATGCCAGGAAAAGCTTCCAGCCTACAAATCCCACTGACACAAAGCTGCTCTGAAAACTGCTGACACTTAAGCAAGGCTGTTTATTCCCAAAGAATCTTAGAATAACTAGAAAGGGGCTGATGTTATACCATCATCATAGTATCTACTGTGAACTGCAATGCTAGAAACCCTTAAAAACATCTTTATTTGTGATCAAAGGCTTAAAACAGACTGTTACTGTATTTTTGGTAATCGTGAGCAGTACCATCTACCTGACTTGCAACGGAAAGAGGGAAAGAGTGTATATGGGTTAAACAGGATGTGGTATGACCAAAGTAAATTGATTTTAAAAAGCCCCAAGGAGTGACAGAAAACAAAAGCATCAGAAAATAACAGCAGAATACACAAAGAGGAATAGAAGCCATTTACCTCGTCTGTGCACTGTCATCGTTCTCCATGAGAGTCGGATGAGGCCTGAAGACTAATTCGATTTCACTAGCACCATCCATTACAGGGTCTATTGCCACAGTTGTGTTGTTATTGTCCAGTTCTAGCCCAGAATCATCCGATGTTTTGGTCCTCTTATTACTGGGCCCCGCTTCCTGATTGCTGTGTGTTGAGGCATTGCTACAGTGTGAACTGTCACCGTTATCTTCTGCTCCACTGCCATTCTCAATCTGTTGTTTCTTGCCTCTCTGTAACCTGATCAGGAATAGGTAGAAATAAATGCTAATCCACATTCAGAATTCACCCAATTCACAGGCCCACAATGCTTGTACAACTCCTCCCTCTCCCGGTCTCCATCATGCCAGAAGTTAGTCATATGCACCCACAAGCACTAAATGTTTCAGAGATATTTAAAGTTTAAAACAAAAACAAACAAACAAAAAATCATTCTTTTTTATAAAAAGATACTCATAGACAAGACTATGGTTTTTTTCCTATCCCTCAAACACCTTTTAGACACGTTTTAAGATAATTTTTAACTTCATACAGTTATTTTTATTTTTCAGGCAATTTCAGACCATTATTTTCATCTAAATATGAATCCACATGTGATTAAAAATATAAATCACACCACGCTTCACCACAATATAAAGTTTCAGGCCTCCTTCCCAGCTGGCTCTCTTAGTTTAAATGCACACCCAGAATTTCACTACTGTATAAACACGATATATTCCAGCCTTGTGAACAAAGTTGCAACTAAAACCTACATTCTGGTATTATGTGCATTTATTCGCATGTCATGGCAATATGTTGGTACAGGATTCATTGTATTACAGTTTATTATCTAAGACATGATAGCCATAATTTAGTAAAGCTAAACTGAAATCTGCCGCCTACATCGGGCTGCCACAGAAGTTGCAGGGAGTGATACAGAGGTTTCTATTAGTAGACAAAAGGTTAAAAATTATTTTGCCAAAGGTTAAAAATTATTTTGGCAGAATTCAGAGGAGAGAAGAGGAATCTCAGGCTATACAGGGAGTGAGGACAGACGGTGTATTTTTTGTGTTAAAGCAAACAAGGTTACATGTGGACAAATTATGTGGATTACGTACCTGTTCATAGCCTGAATCTTTAATCCTTCCTCAATGCTGTGACTTAAAGCTTGCTGGTTATTGTGCTTGCTGATTCTTGCTAGCACTCTCTCCTGATGAGCTTCGTATTCATCTCGGCTTGGATAAATTTTACTGATCAGAGCATCAAAATTGGGATCTGGTCTCAGTGATCTTTTTGAAACTAGCTTTTTACGACATGTGGGACATTCTTTGTTGCTGGACATAAACAAGAAGGGAGAAAACAATACTAACTCTCTGGCAATAACAAAAGTCTGCCCTAATGCTACAATTCTTAGTCAAAGTGCTCACCAAGATTCAATATTTATAGTAAATCTGGAATGGGGCTTCTGTCTTTTGACAGATCAGGTAGTTCCAGATATTTAAACAAAAATCCCAAACATATATCTCCCTGCTTAATTTTTTTTTTTTTTTAAGTATGTTTCAGCAAACTGTTTATGCTGAAGAGTTCAAAGTTCCACTCTGCAAAACGGTTCTTCCCTTAACCCTCTGGATGGATTTTCACCTAGAAAAAAATGCGTGTCCAGTGGAAATTATATTAAGGCATAGTCTTCCTAGCACTCGCAGGACAAAACAAAGATTAAGGAACCTATTCCATAGTTCAAGCACTAATTACTGGGAACACAAAAACAGTCTTGTCCTTCTTACCATTTTGTTTTCATTTAACAAAAATGTCAGGTTCACGCTTTTTTTTTCCTGTAAGAGGAAGAGGCCTCAATAGCTGAAACACTGGTGTCTTTACTCCTGATGGTTTTCTTTTTTCCCTCTAATGTATTTTTGCTAATTACTCATCAGAATTTATGCAGGCACAGAAAATTAAGCATGACCTCTGAATACAGGTAATTGCCATTATCAGAAATAGATACATCATTAACTTAATTGCTGTTGGTTACCTCAGAAGTCTATTGCTTTTAGGAAAATATGAACTTGTAACTGAAGAATACAAGAAAAATTATTTGTAATTTAGTGTAGGTTGTTCCAGTAGTGAAGCTTGGAAGCAGGACTACTGCTAAAAGGCCGCACGATTTGCAATTTATTATTAGGAAAAGAAAGAATAAGGGAAATGAGACTAATTTTTTTTAAGTGAGGTACTGTATTTTTGTTTTGCTGTTACTGGATTGAAAAACAAAAAGAAAAAAGAAAAGAGGTTTTCAAGTCCTTTCAGGAAACAAAGTTATGGGATGATTTTTCATATGAGGAAAAAAACAGATCTGGTCTGCCACAGATGGCTGGCCACACAAGAATGTAATATGAAAGATGTGTTACACATTCAGAAACTTGCAGTGCACAGGCATGTAACTGTTCCACATCAACACCCAGGACATAAAGGATTTCCCTGATCACATTTTCATCTTAAGTGAAATCCGTTTTCCCTGTAGTAATATTTACATACCCACTCCTGAGGGCTGTAATGATACAATCAGCACAGAAGCGATGCAAACATTCTTTTGTTGTCATGGTGTTTTTTAACATATCCAAACAGATGGGACACATCAGTTCACTGTGCAGGCTCCTGGGTGACACCACTATTTCCAAGCCATCGGTGATTGCTTCCTAGCATAAAAAAAAGTAAAAGTTCTTTAATAGAATTTAGTAACTTCCTCACAGGGACTGCATGGGTTACTATTCTTTTAAAGAGAAACATAGTAAAAAGTCAAAACAAGACAGGTACACAACCACATCAAGCACACACACCCATGCTGCTAAAGAAAGGAAAAAAGAAATGAAGATCAAACATACTTCTTTTTTAATATTGCGAGAGAGGTTTTGTTTTGGAAAGCTTTTTTTAAAAAGTACTCTATCATTTAGAATAGGCAGTTAATACTCCTAAACGAAAATCTTAAAACATCAAGCTTTTTAATACTAAAAAGTATTAAAAAAAGCCTTGCCATAAAGGCCAGCTCTTTAACATGTATTACCTGAGGCGTTCTTTGCAATTCGTACAAACTGAGCTCCCATGTTTTGCTTAAAGGTTGCGTCCCATTCGTCTGCACAGCTTGAGACATGGCTGGGAAGAAGAAGAGAAACACATTGCACACTCAAGTACACCTGGCTACAGGAGCCAGCTTCCTCTCCCGAGCAGGCTTCTCTGGCGAGCGTGGAGTCCCTGGGGCCAGGCAGACACAGCGGTCTCTGTGACAACACAGCACAAGTATGGGGGGAACACTTGTTCATCCAAGTACCAGGCTCCACTGTGTTACACGTGGATAAGCCTGTGCTCTGTAGCGCTCCAGAAAAATTGAGGGAGTCAGTCAGCCATGAACGCTTTGCAAAAATCAATTAGGGCTGTTAAACAAAAGTGACAGAACTGAAGGCCATAATACTTGGCTGCGTGGCGCAAAGCTGCAAATGCCACCTGATGTGGAAAACTCATAAAACATCCACTTACAAATGTGCATAGGGGTCAAGTGGGGTCTACTTTTTAACCAAGTGGAAGGTCAAAATTATACACGCACACAGAAAACTAGCTAAACATGTTCACTGGAAACACGCTATAATGCCTTTCTTTTTCCTCCTGAAAATACATTGCTAGGGGTGTCCAATCAGAAGTTTAGAGAATACTGAAAGATCAAGTAAAACATAGTCACTGGGTAATTTCAATCAAGAGGTTCAGTTTTCCTGTGCAACCCCAGGACGTGCACCTGATTTGCAATGACATGGGAAGGGGGAGTCAGAAGTTTTTACGTTTCAGAAACCCAAATCATACACACATTATCAGGGTGTCATGGTTTAGCCCCAGCCAGCAACTAAGCACCACGCAGCCGCTCACTCACTTCCCCCCGCAACCAGTGGGACGGGGGAGAGAATTGGGGAAAAGAAGTAAAACTTGGGTTGAGATAGGAACAGTTGAATAGAACAGAAAGGAAGACACTAATAATTATAATAATAACAACAATAATAAAACAACAATACTAATAAAAGGATTGGAATATACAAAACAAGTGATGCACAATGCAATTGCTCACCACTCGCTGACCGATGCCCTGTCAGTTCTCAAGCAGTGATCTGCCCCCGCCCCAGCCAGCTCCCCCCAGTTTATATACTGGGCATGACATCACATGGTATGGAATAGCCCTTTGGCTAGTTTGGCTCAGCTGTCCTGATAAAGGACCCTGTTTTTCCTCAGCCCCTCCCAACTCCTTGTGCCCCTCCAGCCTTCTCGCTGGCTGGGCATGAGGAGCTGAAAAATCCTTGACTTAGTCTAAACACTACTTAGCAACAACTGAAAACATCTATGTGTTATCAACATTCTTCTCATCTTAAATCCAAGACATAACACTATAACAGCTACTAGAAAGAAAATTAACTCTATCCCAGCTGAAACCAGGACATGGGGTTTCACTCATTTTTTGTTTCAGTAGTGGTAGACGGGCATTCTTGTCAATGGACAGGGCTAAAAGTAACCACTCCCACAACCACTGCTGCAGAATTTGCCTACAGGCAAAGGCACACGTCACCTTTTCATTTAAAAAAACAACCATAAATAAAACAAATGCAAAAAAAAAAAAAAAAAGAGACCACACAGAGAAACTGTAATGCTTTCTCATCAAAATTTTGGGATTATTGTATGAGATGAGGCAAAACTACCACACATAGTCACTGCACACATGTGAAAGAAAGTCAGGTCAAAACGACAGAAGAAAATGATGTTTGTGAACAGAAAATATTTTCACACTGGGGGAGAGGAGGCAATCCTCCCCATCTCTCCAAACATGCCTCCCTTAAAGCAGGAAAACTTATCCCAGACTGTGTGGTATGTTTAAAAAAATAAATGTCACCATGTAAGAGGTAAGATTGCAGTTGCAGACATTTCTACTAGGTGGAAAAAGCAAAAGTGCTTTCTTCCTTTCTTTTGGCATTTTTTTAAGTCTAGGTTTGTATTTCCAGACCCTTCAAATCAGCAGCCAAATGCAGATTCTACTGGCATTTACCAGGTACATTATAAACCAGTTTGCAATTCATCAAGTTCTATATGAAAAGGGTCAACCTCTCTGGAGATGAAGGTTACTTTGTAAGCTGTAATTAATTATTGAGGGAAAAGCAAGAGAAGCAGTGCAGCAAAGCTTATTCTATCTACTTTTATCCAGACACAGAAATTAGAGTTTTCTCACCTTATGAAAAAAGGAGGGGGAAAAAAAAAAAAAAACCCTGACATAAAGTAGCCATGTCCACTATTATGTCTAATAAGTAATAAGGGTCTGAACAGGTGTCAAAAGTAATAATTAGGAGATGACAGACCATCAACTCTAATTTTTACTATATAAATATTGTGCCCTAAAAATACAGTTTACTTGTCACAAGAGACATGTTCCTCTGTGTGGATCAGAAAAGTAAGATGTCCAGTTAGGACCTTACCTCCCCTTTAAAAGTGACAAGCCACCACAAACCAGGTGCAGACTGTCAGCTCCCAGTCTGACCAAGCATTGGACTATCCTGTCAGGATTCTGGGCATTTTATTTAAATTATTCAGAGCTATGAATTTAATGATGGTATTAAGTGACATATCTCAGCAAAGAAGCAATGTTGAAAAGTGTACTAGTGGCAAAGAAAGGAAATAGTATTTCTCTGTGTGCTAACATCCACTATTATTTAAGGTAATTCCAGGCATACAAGAAGTCAAGTCCTTTGGGGTAAGGATTTTTGTTATGTCTTGTTGCCAGTCGGTTGTTCCAACAGAGGCCCAACATTATTATTCTGTGTGCGCACTGGATACTCCTCTTGAGTGCTTTTAAAGTTGACACGTTTAATTAACTATCATTTCAACTACTGAGAAAAATTCACAAAGCTGCTAATCATTCACACCCTTCCCAAAATCTGCTGAAGCATACAGTCAGACTGCAGCAGATTAAGACAACTAAGTCCCAGTAAATCCAGCCTCTCTTAACAGAAAAACCTGCTCCCAACATTTATTTAGCTCCATCGCAGTAAAGAGCTCATCTAAGTGGCCCCATAGGAAAGAGATCATCACATGCACACGTACTATCTTGCCTAAACTTGCATGCTTACACTTGCTAACACAGAACGGCAGCTCTCCAGGTGCCAGACTGTCAGCAAACCTATCAAACCAGAGAACAAGTGTATTAACACTATAATTTATATTGCAACCTTGCCTACAAGCCCGAGGCTATGCTGCTGAAGACACACTACAAGTGTCATAATAAATAATTGACCAGCTTTATTCTAAAGGCTTTTAATCTGAGATGCTGAGTGCTTCATTCTCACTCTAAGGTCTGCAGTGATAGCACTTTCAAATTTTAAGAGGAAAAACAGTGGCCTTAAAGCTAGCCAAAAGCTGGAGAGATCCACATAGTCCACTTTATCATTAGCAAACACACTCTGCCTCTGGTATGTACGAAGTCAAAATCTGAGGAACAGTGGAAACATGGTCAATTCAAACATGCTGAAAAGCCACTCCCACAACCAACAACAACAAAAAAATCACATTACACTGCTTGATGATCAATAAATAAGCCTCCTTAGCTTTCTCCCTGTTCCCCTACAACTTCCAGATCTATATTGGGCCTGAAAAATGCACATGAATGAGGCTTGACTTCGCTTCCTTATGACGTTGCTGGACATAAGACTGGATTATGTTTCTTCATACTGCTGAAATCTAATACAGCAAAATCAACAGCTGGCACCAGTATCAAAGATCAAACTCCACAATCAGGAGAGGCATTTTGACCTAAAATTGCACTGACCATGTAATAGCCACCAATTATCAACTACCAGTCTCAAAGTCATAACCAGTAAACCAGCTCTTTAGATGTTCTCATCAATGACTGATCTTCTCCACTCGCTTGGGGAACAGAGGTAGGAAAATCCTCTGCAGTTAGCCGACTCTCAAGTCAAGCTTTACAACCAAGCAGGAGGAGACTGCACTGGCCCCTTGCTCTCAGGTTTAACAGCAAATAATTAGGCAGCTAACTGACATGTTTTAAGTAAGCAAGCACTCTTGATAGGCAGTCATTTTCAAAGCACATCCCAAACAGCACTGCTGAGTTCATTTTCAGGTATCATTTAATCTGTTGGTCTCCAGCAGAAAAAAACCTAATGAGGAAGACATGACTGGACTCGACTCCACTATTCTCTCTGTTCTTGTGCTAGCTGTGGACAGACCATCTCCAGCTCTCCTTGTGTATTGGCTTTGTGTGCCAAGGTTTTGGTAGCAGGGGGAGTTGCAGGGGTGGCTTCTGTAAGAAGCTGCTGGAAGCTTCCCCCGTGTCCAACAGAGCCCATACCAGCCGGCTCTAAGATGGCTCTAAGCCATCAGCCAAGGCCAAGCCAATCAGCAATAGTGGTAACGCCTCTGTGATAACATTTTTAAGAAGGAAAAAAAGTTGCGGGGCACACAGAAACCACAGCTGGAGAGAGGAGTGACAACATGTAGGGGAAACAACCCTGCAGACACCAAGGTCAGTGAAGAAGGAGGGGGAAGAGGTACTCCAGGTGCCAGAGCAGAGATTCCCCTGCAGCCCGTGGGGAAGACTATGGTGAGGTAGGCTGTCCCCCTGCCGCCCATGGAGGTCTACGGTGGAGCAGATATCTACCTGCAGCCCGTGGACGACCCCACACCAGAGCAGGTGGGTGCCCAAAGGAGACTGTGACCCCGTGGGAACCCCACGCTGGCACAGGCTCCTGGCAGGACCTGCAGATCTGTGGAGAGAGGAGCCCATGGAGCAGGTTTTCTGGCAGGACTTGTGACCCCATGGGGGACCCACGCTGGAGCAGTGTGGTTCTGAAGGACTGCACGCTGTGGAAGGGACCCACGCTGGAGCAGTTCGTGAAGAACTGCAGCCCGTGGGAAGGACCCACGTTGGAGAAGTTTGTGGAGGACCGTCTCTTGTGGGAGGGACCCCACAACGGAGCAGGGGAAGAGTGTGATGAGTCCTGCCCCTGAAGAGGATGAAGTGGCAGAGATAACGCGTGATGAACTGACCGTAAACCCCATTCCCTGTCCCCCTGTGCTGCTGGGGGGCTGGGGGGTAGGTAGAGAATCTGGGAGTGAAGCTGGGCCTGGGAAGAAGGGAGGAGTG